ACCTCTTCCACCGATCGAATTGAACAGTTGTTGGTCCTTACCGTCTCGTTCGAGGTTAACAGGACGAAGGGGGTACTGTGCTTTTTGGCATGCTTGATGCTGCTAGTCTTTTTAAGTCACTACGTTTAATCTATTTTCACTCGCATGCTACGATGAAGCGTCGAGATCGGGATTTGTTCAGTGGCAGGTAAATTAGTGTGCATAAATTATTGAGCACTAAAAACGTTTTAAAGCAGTTGCTCCTTTCACTACCACTGATACCCACAGTGAGTCTCCACTCCCTTTTCTAGTCGCAGTGTTACGAGGCGGTCTTTGAAATCACTCATTGTGTGTGTGGTAATCACTTCTTTATCAGTGTAATTGGAACAACCCTACGCAATATCCAATGGCGACCGCTACGATCATTGGCACCCTGCAGTCACTGCCACCACTGACATGAATGTTCGCACACCATTGAGCTGACGATGTTGCTGCTTTTTTTGAACCACTGTACGTTAGCTTTTTTTCATTTATGTAAAAAGATTTTGTAAAGTAACATTTTTATCTTGCCACTTAAGCAATATTTTTAATTACTGGCGCAGCAGTACCACAGAAAATCGAATGATTGTTCTGGGCCTGGCGAACCCTTTTATATCAATTCAGACATAAAACAGTTTCTACAAGCTCGTGATGTCCTAAGCTGTCTGGTTGGCTTAAGTCGCGGTTTAAAAAATCTTAAAACCATTATCGTCTTAGGAAGTGACCTTCTCAGAACCATTATCATTTGTATCAGTAACTGCTGAACAAACTTTCCTGCTTTTGATACATGGAAATGGAAATCATTCCCTCTAGTGTTATTCCTCCTGGACCTTCAGCCGGTGCAACTCCTTTTTCTGATTTTTTGTTAGTTTGTAATTGAGTAGTATTAATTTGTGATTGAGCAGTAAAGTGCTAAAACGGATCGGAGTGGAAAAATGTAGTAAATTATCATGAAATTTTCGTTGCCAAAATTATCAAATTAATAAGGATGAGACTGGAAAAGTATCGGCACAGGCATGGTTTATGCTAAGAGCGTGGACTTTGGCCAATTAGTTTTTGGCTTAACGAAAGTACCGGAAAATTTTAGGCTCCTAAAACTGTCAAACTAAGAACTAAACTTCATTGCTAAAAGGAACTAATTCTAGTACAGCGATTAAGATGCTTTAGAGATATCCGCAAATGCAAGGGTAGGGGTGGCAGCCAGATGTTATAATGTTGAAAACTCGCTCTACCTTGCAAGAAGAGCAAATTGCATGTTGGTGTGCTGGATGGCGGCACAACGCTCATCTCGGAAGTAGAAGGCTCGCGACAAGGCATAGGCTAGATGACACGAAAGTCTGCTGCTTACATGCCCGGAATAGGCTCAAATATTGCAACAATTAGTCCAGTAATGCTGCAATTTCAGGAGATGCTGGCTGATGCAATTTTCATATTTTTGGTGGCACTCGGGTTGTGCCATGGATGCATGCAAGTAAGACCAGCAAATCCTGCAATTATGCGAGCGCCTGGCGCTGTTCGAGGCGTTCTTCGTAACCCTGGCTTAACTCAACCACCCGTTGCAGCAACAGCAGTGCGTACAGCTCCCGTCGGTGCTTCAATAGCCGCGTCTTTCACAAGTACCGGCAGTACCATAACTGAACTACAAAGTAGTGCGGATAGTACTACAGACGCAGTAAGCACAACAGAGGCGACTGAGTCAGATGAATCTGTGGAACCTATTGCATCAAGGCTGAAGTTGGTAGAACCAGTCGTACAGCAGCCATCTAAGAAAGGTAGCTTGAAAAATGAAACGATACCTTCGAAAAATGTATTAGACTAGGAGCTTTTTGTTTGTTGGCTCGTGACTCGTTCTTTGTAGTCAATGCGCTAAAGTGTTTGAAACTTAAATTTTCATGAGACTCATAAAATTCCTCTAATTCCACTGACCCTCCTCTCTTATTCTTTTTGCAGTGCCGCCAGGTTGCTATTGCAATATTAGCATTAGTGAGAGCAAGAGAAAGGTGCTTGAGAAAAGTGCCTTTTTTGGGAAGAGCACGACAGATCACAAATTTTTTTCCAGAAATCAAACAGTGATTTGGGAAATGTTTCTTAGCGCACCTTTTGGACAGTAAAACTGCTTTAACTTTCAGAAAAATTAGAAATTAAAAATGCTAAGACGCATTTTGTGATGAACTGTTGCTAAAGCACTACGTCGTTCTTAAAAATGCGCTGGAAATCTTGAATCCTTCTGCGCATACCTAACTTCAGAAGCACTACGAATGCTTAGTTCTTGACAGCTGTGTATTGTGATTCTTTATGAAATATTACTAAGTATTACAGGATGCGAGCAGCCACCTGAAACTAGCAGTTTGTTCGTCTCGGATACTGTTGATCAGTACAACGATGTGAGCTTTGGCCCGCTCGGTGGCCCCGATTCGGCACCCTATGAAAGTTTGTTTATTTTCGTGTCTACCAGAAAAAATAAAAAGTTGCTCTTTATAAGAGATAAGAGCACCACAAGTATTCTTAGGGCAGAAAGTTCCAACAAAAATTATTGTCTGGCAAAACTGTTAGCGATATTACAAGCGAGCTAATGGTGGACTTGATTTATCCATTAGCATTTTTGGGGGTGCCCGTGAGATCAGGCGTTTTTAAGCAAACCTTAAGGCAATCAGATGGTTAGCAGCATGAGTAGTCGTTGTACTATAGTCCTACATGTGTAGGCTGTGTTTTTGGTTATTTACTGCTATTAGTGGAGGAGTGGTGACTGATGGTCCAGGATGCTAGAACTACAATGTGGAGTCACGTAATATCTCAAACTTGGCTATGCTTGATTGCCACAAAGAGATGTTGCTAACGATTCTGCACACTCAGGTTTT